TGGGGTATTGCCACTCTTAAGCAGCAGTTTCCATATTATAAAATAGCTTAAAAATTAGATACCAAGACTGGGACTTCTAAATCAAACACAACAGGTGGCCTAGAAATTCAAGCAGGCAGATCTCATTGCGGAAGTCACTAAGGCAAATACAAAACTGTTAAAGTAGATGTAAATGAAATGAATGATGCATATTTTGCTAAAGCCTGGTGAATCATACATACAGTAACTGCCATTTTTTAAAACTTTACCTTTTTTCACAGAAATCAAAACACTGACTGAAAAAAGTAGAATGAAACATTTAAAGTGTAATAAAGGCAATTTGTTTTTTTTTGTTTTAGATAGGGTGGAGAGGGAAGACAACACAGATTTTTATTGATATATGTACCGGCACTAGAAAGATTCACCCTCTCTATATGTCCTGTTCACAGTTTTAATTGAAAATGAAAGTAAAAGTAAATTCCAAATTTGGGGTTGTCGCCAGAACAGTAATAGAGGAAAAATCCTCCAATGAGGAGACTTGTTTTGGTGACAACCAAAGATTCCCTCACTTTCGAGACTTTTCCTCTCACGTCTTGTTTTGGCTATGAGGCAGGAAATTAAGAGAAATTTCGTCATTGGGACAGGGATGACAAAAAAAAAGCTGATGGGCTATTACCTTCCCTTACTCTATCTAAAATGAAGAAAAAAAGATTTGCCTTTAGTTTTACTTTATTGCAAATAATGATCAATACACATAAAGAAATAAACTAAAAATGCCCTAAATACAAAACGACCCCTAACTATAGAAGGAAGAAAAGCAAATTGTGCCCAAATTAGTGAAATTGTTCCCCTTGGGTATTTTTTGCAGTAAAATCTGTTTCTTATAAATAGTTTTTCTACTCTCTAGGCATGACACTAGACCACGGGTCTCCAAGCTGTCCCACCAGCTTTCGAAGTACTACAAGTCCCATCATGTCTCTGCCTTTGGGAGTGTTGCAAGGCCTCACGGGGACTTCCTCAGTTCCTCAACACCTGGAGGGCCATAGTGTGTAGGCAGGTGCAGTTAGCCATTTTGCTACTAGGTGACTCTGTACCAGAGTAGTGTCTGGTTACAGCAGACAGTGTCATAGGTGCTAGGCCCCTTTTAGGTAAAGTCCTCTTATAGTGATGTCAGGGGTGAGTCAGCACCCATAAATATGTCAGGGAGTGAGGAGCAGTTTCTTGGCTCATGGGAACTAAACACCACACACCTATGTGGATGTAGCCAGCACATGTAGACCCTGGACACAGCAGGAGGCCAGGTGGAGTGGACATGTATGCAGGAGGAGCTGCCTGTAGTCTTTCTGTCCTTTATGGAGACTGGGGCTGGAGTGGATTGCAAAAGGCCTTTTAGGCCAGGTCGGCGAACCCTACATGAGGCTGCTTCCCTGGAGGGTCCCCAGAAGAAATGTACCTAGCAAGGAGGTGACTACAGAGATCACAGTCATGTGGGTACTAATGACCCTGGGCAGAGGAGAGACTGTAAGGGAGATGGCTGCTGAGATGTGGCATATGCTTTCAATTGTGAACAATGTGGACCTTCCACTACATGTTATTGACTGTGTAAAGTTAAGTTATTGCAAAATGTATGTCCTTGTGATGTGACTGTAATGCCATTTCCTGAACAACATCAGAATGTGGACATTTCTTCTTTGGGGATACAAAGGTCTATGGCCGGGAATGCCAAGTTGGAGACCTATGGTAAGGAACAGGGTACAAGATGGCAAAGGGTTTGGCCTCAGCAGGAGGGACAGTGTTTCTTCCAGGGATGGAGTGGGGGTAGGGACTTGTGCTTTGGCACCAAATTCAGCAAACCACAAAGCCCCTCTTACAAATGTCTCTCCTTGAGCATTTTTGGGCATAGGACAGTAATCTATAGCCACCCATACTTATATTTTACATTAGGCCAGAAAAAAATTAGATACAAATAGACGAAGGAATCATGGATCCAGACACCACAGAGAAACAAACCTTACTCAAAATTCATATTATCAAAAACTATTAGATCAAAATAAAGAATTTCATGCAATGTATAGAAAAAAAACACACCCTTCCCAAACTCATTAAAAATCATACATTGTTGTTCCCCACTTAAAATGTCCCATCCTCTCCCAGTTCTGACTACCTAACTTTGCTGATAAGTTATTTTCTCCTGCCTAACCGAGTTACTTCTAATAATATTGGGCTACTCTGTATCAAAAATCAATGAAAAATGAAGCGTAGCTAGAAAAGCTGCAGTTGCTTGCAATCCAAACTTCCAAAGGTATTTAAAATACATTTAAACTATACTGTGAATTAAAACAGGCACTTGAAGTCTCCATCAGAAGTCTTTGTTACAGGATGACAAGCACAATTGGTAAACAAGGACATTGTCACCCCGTAACAGGTGTAGCCTCTCTTACTTCTTCCCCCGTGTGTTCTGCTCACCCGTCACTTCCCTGCTGTATGAGCTGAATCATATGTGTGCATTTCAACACTGAAACAATTAATGCAATAGAGACTGCTCCTTACTTTGCACACACTTAAAGGGACAGCTTCATGTGCACCACCTCACAGAAGGGCCCCAACATCAGCCGGCTTAACATTTCAAACCAGACGCCAGGTATCTCTACAGAGTGCACTCCAGTACACTTTCTTTGAATTTATTAATATAGAATACTGTGAGACTTCATTTACTGCTGTTACATACTTCACTATTTATGTGGTTCCTTATTAATGCCATGGAATCCATGTTAGTTTGGTTTAGCATTAATGTAGTCTAAGCCAGTGTTTCTCAACTTTTTTTCGGTCAAGGTACCCTTTGAAGTTATGAACAATCTTGAGGCTCCCTTTAAAATTGTGGACAGTCTGAAGGCAACCCATTCTAAAATGTAAAAATCTATTCAAATAGTTTTACCTAATGCAGCAACACCCACACATGTAAGCCACCCAACGTTATAGAGGGTTTATTCTTACAAATCAAATACACGTTTGCACACATCTTTCAAACCACTGATGGCATCATTGGTGGTTAGGAGGCTGGCAGCTAGATGGTTATAATAATAGTAAAACCTCCTGCGCTTATATGGATGTGCCTAAATCCAAGCTGCTCTCACCCAACCTGACCCAATTGGTATGTTCAAATCAATATAAATAAAAATGGTGAAGTGCTATATAATAAATAAATGACAAAGATAAACCATAAACATACTATATTCCACAAACAGTGCTCTGATCCAATCTGGATTCAATCGGTGAATATTCAGGTGCAAAATGGTGAAAAAACAGGAATGACCTGTTAGCATACACACTTAAAAAGTGACTCAAAATAAATATGTATATATAAATATATATACTCTACCCCCCCCGTCCCAATAATGGGACTATTCAAAACCAAAAAACACAGTGTACCAAGTGAATCCCCTCCCGAGGTAAAATCAATGATAGTGATGAGTGCCACTCATAATAAATAACAAAGAAACCCTCTAATAAATCATCCTCAAAAAAAAAAAAAAATATAAAATGTATATCACAAATGTAAATAAATCATAAATAATGTCCAAAACATATAGCCGTGATCTTCAAACAATTCGTGCAGGTGATGAAGTGAAATACATGATCTCCACTCTTGTGAACAAATCCTCGAATAGCAGAAATGGCCCCTCACCTCCAAACCATAACCACAAGGGCCAGCTCACTTTTTAGGATCACCTCACGATCCTTATGGATGTTATCTCATCACAGGAGAAAGATGTCACATAAGCTCCCTTCAGCAATACCACTTACTCCTCTAAGGTCCCTCCAGGTTCAAGTACCGCAATACAGCTCACTCCCCACCAGGGGCGGACTGACAACTCATGGGGCCCCTGGGCAATAGGGGATCATGAGGCCCCTGTGTCCTTGCCCAAACTGAAAAGGGTACCAGGGGCATCTCATGGGGCCCCCTACTGACCTCGGGCCCTTGGGCAGTGCCCGAGTTTCCAAATGGTCAGTCCCCCCTGCTCCCCACTCAGGATCATATTAATAAGACAGAAAAAAGATCCTCCATGGTGGAATAATGTTTATTAATCAATTAATCTCATAAAAAACAAATTGCCCACTCACATTTTCTCCATAGATATAAAGCCTCTAAACTTCATGCTGTGGGTGTACTGCATGGGTTTGTTGGGTGTACCAAAATGGTGCCCACGCCTGGAAGTGCATCACCACGTCACCGGTTTTGCGTATCAACGCGTTGCGTCACGTTGTCACGTGACTTCACCGGGGTATATGACGCATCACTCATCACTATCATTGATTTTCCCCGAGAGGGGATTCACTTGGTACACTGTGTTTTTTGGTTTTGAATAGTCCCATTATTGGGACGGGGGGGGGGGGTAGGGTATATATATTTATATATATATTTATTTTGAGTCACTTTTTAAGTGTGTATGCTAACAGGTCATTCCTGTTTTTTCACCATTGTGCACCTGAATATTCACAGATTGGATCCAGATTGGATCAGAGCACTGTTTGTGGATTATAGTATGTTTATGGTTTATCTTTGTCATTTATTTATTGTATAGCGCTTCACCATTTTCATTTATATAGATGGTTATAATGGCGCACAATGAAAACCTATGGCTTTGTGTAACTAAAAGGCAGGCTTGATCCACCTACTGGCTTGTATACAATTTTTAGGCAATTTTTAGGCATATTGCCAAGGTACCCTTCAAAACACTTCAAGGCACCCGGGTTAAAAAAAGGCTGGTCTAAGCTAATTGCCATACCTATAGCTAGTATTCAAATTAGTTAGCCTAATGTATTCTAATTGGATCATTTCTCATTTATTGGTTTGAGCCTCTTGTTACCTAGCCTTGCCTTAAATTCATTGTGAGTGGCAGCATACTGTCGCTTAAGTTACACAGGTGCGAAAAGCCTCCAATTTACAAACCAGGTGTGTCAGTGGGGGCCAAGTTGTGGCAAAACAAAGAACCCATCATGTCCAGCAGCTCCTGCGGGGGCAGGGGCGGACTGACCATTTGAAAACTCGGGCACTGCCCGAGGGCCCAGGGTCAGTAGGGGGCCCCATAAGATGCCCCTGGTACCTTTTTTATAGGCTTTTTTGAGTTTGGGTAAGAACACAGGGGCCCCATGATCCCCTATTGCCCGGGGGCCCCATGAGGTGTCAGTCCACCCCTGTGCGGGGGTAAGCTCTTTGCAGGAAATGCCTAAACAAGACCCCCCATGATAGGATCATCAAGATTATTTCAATGAGTGTTGCAGAATTAAAAAGATTGGAAATGACTTTTGAAGTAGCATTAACATGCCAAAGCTTATATGAGATTTTGGTGTTAGGTCTTACTTCTACTTTAATATTTCCACTGTGTTTGTTTTGCAGAGATTCCGTTATCTGCGACTCAGCTAAACAATGGCCAACAACAGAAAACAGCCGTTGGTAATACCTCTACTACACAGAAAGCGAAATATCTTACTGTTAATCAGTACCTACCCAGCACCTACCCACACCAAGGAAACATCAATGGAGCGTTTGATTCCTCTTGTGTGGACAGCCACAGTAACTCAGTAAGTCATACTTTATGTTCTGGTATAATCATTATACTGTTTGGAAAGTCATCTGTTGTCTGATATGTGCAATATCAACAGAAGTCTACTATTGCCATGTTTATGGAGGAAAAATTGCCTACAACTGACTTCAGAAGAGTTTGGACGTCTATCACACAATGCACGCTATGGGGGGAATTCATAAACAGTGTCTATAGCCAGCCATATATGGATTGCATTTTGGCCAGTTCAGCAGGGGCCAGTCGAATTTCGATCCATGTATGGGGACAGTGGCTGTACAGAAGTCGAGCCCCTTGCCATATTTCACATACAGAAAAAAAACACAGTATGCTGTGGTCAGGTGGGTGGTAAAATAGGTAGTTGAGCTGTTGTTTTACGACCTCCTCAACCCAGAACAGCGCTGAAAGGGGTTGAAAGGGGTTGTACAAGTAATGTGGCAGAAATGATACCCCCTGTCACATTTCTTGAGCAGTATGGCTGCCATATGCAACCCATTCAAGTGAATAGAACCTTGCAGCACGGTTGTGCAGCTTTTTCGGGGTTGAAAACAGGCAGTGAGGGGGCAACATAATGCCTGTCAACTGCCCTCTGATTGGTGATCAGTGATGAAACAGTACGTAAGCACAGCAGGTGAATCTGAAGTTTTCACTTCCTGAATATTTATTGACAATTTATATAATTTGCAGAACAGCACACAATTTTTGATACATGATTGCCCGGATTTCCGGAACTAAGTGCATCTTATAATGTTATTGAAATTTGAATGTAAATAATTTAGTGAATTTAATGTATGGGGTTATTAAAAACATGTCATTCACCACTCTCTGCCCATCCAGGGCTCACTGGGCCGCCAGGTTTGAGAGGGGCGGGTGCGGCTGGCTTCGGCTCTCAGCCACCCGATGAGAGCTAGAGCTAGCTGCCAATCAGGCGGCGAAATGGACAATATGGTTGGGATCCATTCAGTGCCTGGTGATGTCAGCCGACATTGGGTTTTTGCATGCTGTCAGTTGTCAGTTGATCCTGGGTCACAGGAGTAAACAAGCAAGTGCACTCATGTGATCTACCAGAGAAAAATACCAAAAAAGCTTTGGCCATTCTTCTCTTTTAATAGAATGGCCTTCTTTACAAAGTACTGTGTTTGCTGGATTCTAGTAGAAGTTCATGGATTGATTTCACTTTTTGCCTCGAATTGCTTGCTAATGCCACTCCCCCCGTGTCAAGAATAAAAAATTTAAGCTGGACACAGATCTAGATATACACAATATTGCCAAAATTATTGGGATGCCTGCCTTTACATGCACATAAACTTTATTGGCATCCCAGTCTTAGTCCACAGGGTTCAACATAGAGCTGGCCCACCCTTTGCAGCTATAACAGCTTCAACTCTTCTGGGAAGGCTGCCCACAAGGTTTAGGAGGGTGTCTATGGGAATGTTGACTATTCTTCCAGAAGCACATTCGTGAGGTCAGGCACTGATGTTGGACGAGAAGGCCTGGCTCTCAGTCTTCGCTCTAATTCATCCCAAAGGTGTTCTATCGGGTTGAGGTCAGGACTCTGCAGGCCAGTCAAGTTCCTCCACTTCAAACTTGCTCATCCATGTCTTTATGAACCTTGTTATTATGTGCACTAGGGTTTATTAATAAAATGGTCAAAATGATGCAATTAAAATATTTACAGAAAAGGATGTTACAAAGAAATAAAGAGAACAATAAAGCAACAGAGAAATAAAAGGAAGGAGTTAAGAAAGCAGAATACTTGCAAAGTCCTTGGTTTTAGCAGAGTCCAATTGTCTGAGCAAAAATGTTGCCTTGGCTCTCAAGTCCATTAGATGTTTTTTGATTGATGTTAAACGAGAGCACTCTTACTAAATCCGGTCAGTCCCTTTTATATGATATCTAAGGGGTGTCGTCTGAGAACAACTGACCAATTATCTGGTTTAGGGGATGGGTGCTAGGAGGTCACCAAACTTATAGAGGTCACCAACTACATTTTCATGCTAATATTAATAACTTCCCGTATGCGCAGGTGGTATTCTGGCAGATTAATATTCAGAATTATATTTCAAACCCAGGGATACCAAACACAGCATACCTTTGTCACCCAGGATCCCCTTTCCTATGTACTAACATATTCATGTATGACCTTGATTTGTTCGGTATGATATACCCTATTCAAATATATACCTACTATTAATTTGCCCTGTTCCTGTTGAATTCTATGAATTGTATGTGGAATTGTTACATGTGGAATAGATGTTTTATGGCACGCTCTGCATTCCTATAGCCTTTATGGCCTCACAGGTCATTTTTGACTGCTTGACCGAGTTATTATTGTTTTATGATAGGGTAGAGGAAAGTGTTTTTCATGGTTCCTGAAAACAGACATCCTGCCAAGACTAATTAGTTGTTTACAGCTCTGGAGCTGGCCTCTTTTTGTGTTTTAATTAAGATAAGAGGCTCTTTTGAAGTTCATTACAACTTACAGCTACAAATATCAGTTTCAGGAGGAGGGAGAAGGGAAGGAAGATTACTGCTCATGAAAAACAAAAATGGCTGAGACCTTAACAAGATGGTGTACAGCTTCCATGTCTATATTGCGCCGAATTGTTACAGGGGCCATCCCCAAACTGTTCCCATAAAGTTGGGAACATGAAATTGTCCAAAATGTCTTGGTATGCTGATGCCTTAAGAGTTCCCTCCACTGGAACTAAGGGGCCAGGGCCAACCCCTGAAAAACATCCCCACACCATAATCCCCCCTCCACCAAAATTTACACATGGCACAATGCAGTCAGGCAAGAACCGTTCTCTTGGCAGTCGCCAAACCCAGACACGTCCATTAGATTGCCAGACAGAGAAGCGTGATTCATCATCAGATTGCTAGACAGGGAAACGTGATTCGTCACTCCTGAGAACACATCTCCACTGCTCTAGAGTCCAGTGGCAGCGTGCTTTAGACCACTGAATCCAATGCTTTGCATTGCACTTGGTGATGTAAGACTTGGATGCAGCTGCTCGGCCATGGAAACCCATTCCATGAAGCTCTCTACAGACTGTTGCTGTGCTAATCTGAAGACCGCATAAAGTTTGGAGGTATTTAGCTATTGACTCTGCAGACAGTTGGTGATTTCTGCACACTGTGTGCTTCAGCATGCGCTGACCCCGCTCTGTCATTTTATGTGGCCAACCACTTTGTGGCTGAGTTCCCAGTTGTTACAATACCACTAACAGTTGACCGTGGAATATTTAGTAGCAAGGAAATTTCACAGATGGACTTATTGCACAGGTGGCAACCTATCACGGTACCATGCTTGAATTCACGGAGCTCCTGAGAGTGCCCATTCTTCCACAAATGTTTGTAAAAGCAGTCTGCATGCCTAGGTGCTTGATTTTATATGCCTGTGGCCATGGAGGTGAATTAAACACCAATGATTTGCAGGGTTGTCCCAATACTTTTGGCAACAATAGTGTATCTCTATAACCACCATAAGGTCCATAAAGTACATTTTATGTAAGAGAAATCTTGGGGCAGTTGTTCTTCTTATCAGGGATTCAGTGAGGATTCAGTGTCAGTAGGTACTGTAATGCCTAGTACACACAATGACAATATCGGATGAATGATCATCCATTTTTGTTTTTTTTTTTGCATGCTAGTCTCATATCTAAAAAGAATAGGTTACCAGATTTACGAAAATTCCCATAACACAGAATACAACTTCCCACGATGATGTAAAGTATTGCATTGCATCGTATCATAATGTATTCTTTGGTTTCCGAGCATGTGTGATCTTGGTTATTCAATTTGTATACATACAGTTGCAAGAAAAAGTATGTGAACCCCTTGGGATTACGTGGAGTTTTGCATGAATTGGGCATAAAATGTGCTCTGAACGTCATCTAAGTCACAACAATAGAAGAACACAGTCTGCTGAACATAATACTACACAAACATTAGATGTTGCCATGGTTTAATTGCACATAACATGTAAACATTCACAGTGCAGGGAGGAAAAATTATGTGAGGTCTTAGCTTAATGACTTCTCCCAGAGCTAATTGGAGCCAGGAGTGAGCCAACCTTGACTCCAATCAGTGTGATGATATTGGATGTGTTGCTGACAGCTGTCCTGCCCTTAAAAAGCACACACCTGTTTTGGGTTTACTGCTTTCAAGAAGCACTGTCTGATGTGAACCATTCCTCGCAGAAAAGAGCTCTCAGAAGACCTACGATCAAGAATTGTTGACTTGCATGAAGCTGGAAAGGGTTACAAAAGTATCTCCAAAAGCCTTGATGTTCATGTGTCCACGGTAAGACAGACTGTCTACAAATGGAGAAAGTTTAGCACTGTTGCTACTCTCCCTAGGCGTGGTCGTCCTGTAAAAATGACTGCAAGAGCACCACGCAGAATGCTGCATGAGGTAAAGAAGAATCCCAGAGTGTCAGCTAAAGACCTACAGAAATCTCTGGCACATGCTAACATTTTTGTTAACACATCTACAATAAGGAAAACATTAAACAAGAATGGAGTACATGGGAGGACACCACGGAGGAAGCCATTGCTGTCCAAAAAGAATATTGCAGCACGTTTGAAGTTTGCAAAAGAGCACCTGGATGTTCC